TGAATTAACAGCACTGCATATTATGACTGCGTGTGCAAGCGGGTCATGGTGAATCAATAGTATCTGTGGAGTGAAAGGAAACAAAATCTCTCATCTCTGCCTTGGTCTCACAGCTGTATCTATCTATTTCCTTCAATTATTTGTGCATGTCTATCTGTTTATCTGCCCCCCCATACCCAATCCCTTCTCTCTCTCATTTTCCCTTATACACCCAGGAGCAATGAGTGACTTGAAGGGCAGAGGATGAAAACACAAATTAACCACAGAGAGCAAGTGAGTGACAGAGGCAGAGAGGAGAGGGAAATGGAGGGATAGACCATGTAAAAGAGATGGAAGAAAGAGATTGTCTCCGATATTGATCTGGTAATCCTCATTGTGCTCTCTGGCGATTCTAATCTTCCTCCTACACAAGACGAGGAGACGCAGGGAAAGGGCAAGAGAGAAAAGGAGTACAAGGAGGGAGGGAGTGGAGGACGGCGTGTGGAGAGAGGAGGAGCAGTGCCATCCAGTGGTGCAGAGAAAAGCTGCAGTGTATTATTTCACTAACAAACATCTGTTAATGTGTGCTTATCTGCATGTGCGTTATCGAAGATAGCTGCTCATTCACAACTACACGAACCAAAAACACAAGACGTCAGCTCCTTTCAGCCCTGGGTCTTTGGCACAGAAGGAGCAGAGCTAAAAACAGGGAACATATGGTCCCTGTGACACACTCTGACCTTGAGCGGGGTATTTTGGGATTGTCACGCAAATACATATTCATACACGCTTAACACAAAATACAGATTTTCAAGTCCTTTAAATTAATATGCAAATATGATTCTTTATCTTGATAAGAAAAAATGCTTAATGCTAAATAAAAACAACAAATAATACATTAATAATATAACTATACAGTATATGGCCAAAAGTACTTAGCTGATTTTTTATGTCTTTATCTAGGCCCCCAGAACTTAAAGCTGCTATAATCAATATTTTTGTATATACATGAGAGGTCTCATAGTAATGAACCCACAGATAATTATCACCCAGCTCTACAGTTCCCCTCAGCGCTACAGATTGTTTTAGTGCCTTTTAGCTCATTGTTTTGGTTTTCCAGCCGAGAACGTTACTGTTTTGATTCACTCTCACCGCTCTCGTTTCCCATGATGCAGCAGCCAGCTGTTTGTACACTGTACGCTACCAGCTCAGCAGCAAACAGCAGACAAGATAAAGTTAGCAGCTAGCGACTTGCAGCTGCTGGAACATTCAGCAGCTAAAGGCAGATATTTTTCTCAGAAGTTGAAAGAGACCAAAAACACCTAAAGGAGATTAAATATTGGACCTCTAAATGAATGATAATGCTGCTTGCTGTGTTCTGGCTGCATAAATAGACAACTGTTTGCTAACGTGTTCAACATAACAATTTTATAAGATGACATATGCTGTTTTTCAAGTACAAGTTCCAGGTACCCGAAAACATTTTCTAGTTGACGTTAGACCTGTCGATCATGATCGCTCAAACAGATGTGTCGCCACGTCACAACAGAGATGATTCACCAACACTGACAACCAGACAAACAATGCGGGGGGAAAAAAATGAACTTTTAATATTCTGATGAATGTCAGCAAAACATTCACAGACAACACATTTCATTTTTTTCTTACAGTGTTCACTCTTGTAACATAATTATCTGCTAGTAGCATCTAAAGCGTGGTATCAGTTAATGTTAGGGGAAAGACTGCGGTGAACTATTGTGAAGGACAACAGTGGTCAGGTACACAAGACAAGACTTGTTCACTAACATTTAGCCATGATCTTTTCCCTAACCTTAACCGAACCACTTGAGGGATGTGAACCTTCCTTATAGTCTTTGCTGTCAATCACTTTGCATGCTCTGCATCCACTGATCCAGGCAGCAATTATGTTTTCTAGGAGACAGGTTTGCATGATCACCCTAAGTGAAAGAAAATTACTTCCTTCATTGAAAATGACTTGTTTGTCTCACAGCCACTTACTTCGCTCACCTTCGAAAACAGCACGGTGATACACCCGTATTTATCCACTAAAGCGAAAAACGCAAGGAAGAACTGAGCACTGAAGCCTCGGGAGGCTCTTTGAAAAAGGTGAGGTTATGGGAATTCCTTCAGCCAGGTGCCAGGAATATTGTGGATAACCTGCAATCGAAAGACTGAAGTGTGTTTTAGCAGCGGATTAATGTTCAGCCATCACATATGGGTGAAATGTTCAGGTGTCCACATCTTTCTGGCCACACATATACCCACTTCAGAGCTCTCTCTCATACACTCAGACAGAAACCCATTTTCTGCCTGCCTTTCTTTTTCTCCTGCTCCCCCTCCGGCTACACAGTGATGACCTCAAGAGTCATTTATTAACATGGATTATATGTCGACGGGATCAAAACCTGGCAGAAAACCAGCAGTTACACCTCTCCCTCCCTCTCTCTCTCCCTCTCTCTCTTCCTCTGAACCAATACACCACCAGACGCCTGACAGAGAGATTGAGATAAAAGGAAAGAAACAGAGAGCGGGCGAGAGAGACGGAGAGATATATGAGAGTGGAAGAAAGAATCAGCTTTTTTCATTGACCTTTCCTTGGTTCATCATTCAGAAGCCCCAGGGTTTGATTTTCTCTCTGTGTTCGAGATGAGCCATCAATAACTGCGCTGTTAGTGTCAAGCAGCTACTAACTCTGCTGTGACTCCGACGGGAAGATCAGAGGAGAGGAGAGCGAAAAGGAGAAGACAGCTAACTCTGTCTTAACAGCCTAACTCTGTATCGACAACCAATTAGCCAAAAACTGAAGATAGGATACGCACATCCAATCTATCAGGACATCAAATTAGAATACACCACTTTTGTATCGAGTAAATAATATGAAAATATTGTTTCCTGACTGTTGGTCAGGTGGTACATCGTTTTTAATCCAGGCTGAAATATCTAAATGACTATTTGATGGATTGCCTTGAAATTGTGTTCGCCTGCCTTCCCCTTCAGTACCACCAGCCGGTCGAAGTTTTACCTCCCACAGTGAAATATAAAGCATATAAAAAGCATCTACTGCCACAACAGTCTTGGTTCTCAGACGATGTGCCCTCACTGTGAGGTGGACATTTGTGGTTTGAAGTGAAATGTCTGACAAACTATTGGTCATGACACTTGGTGCAGATATTCATGTCCCTCACAGGATTGACTGTAAGACCTTTGGTGATCTGTTAACTTCTTCCTCTTGTGGCATCGTCAGATAAATGTTTTTTACTTGTCCAATCCCTGCGCGACACAACCAAAAGATCAAGACACATCAGTCAATGGAACAAATGGATGGTTTCATATCAAATAATATCCTAATATATTTAAATCAATGCAGGAAATGATTGTGTCTTTATTGCACAATCAACTCTGTATCGCTAGTGTCACCCTATTGGTCAGTCCACCACTTTGGTCCAGACTGAAATATTATCTGAACAGCTATTGGATCCATTGTCATTAGTACAGATACATTTTTGTGATTTTGGTGATCCCACTTTTGCGATCCATCCATTTTCTCACTGCTTATCCAGGTCCAGGTCTGAAGGTGGCCCTGACACCTTTCTAACCACATCCTCCCTAAGCCATTAGGCCGGATGGGATATGCAGTATAATCCTCAGGACCCCTGCCAGTGTGACATGCCTGAGTTATGGGAAAGGGAGGCTTCCTTATCAGATGCCTGAACCAGCTCAGCTTTCCCCCTTTTGGAGCAGTGAGTCTCCTTTGAACTCTAAACCCCACCACTCTGCAAAGTCAGCCACAGTATCCGCAATCTCGTTCTTTCGGTCTGGACCCAAAGCTCATGATTATAGGTGAGGGTTGGAAAGAACAGTGAACCACTCGACTGAGAGCTCAGTCCCAACATTACTGCTGACGTGGCATTAATCTGGTCGATCTGGCATTCCATTTCATCTTCACTCATTAATAAGACCCCAACATACTTGAACTCCTTCACTTGGGCCAGTGACTCACTTCCAACCCAGAATGAGCAGTTCACTGTTTTTCCAGCAGAGAACCATATGGCCTCGGGCTTAAAGGTGCTCACTGGATATCATGGTCTGGTGAAGCCAGCAGATGCGCATCATCTGCACAAAGCGCAAGCGCAAAAAGAGATTCAGTCCCGAGGCCACTGCAGCAAACACTCTGTGCATTCAGATTTTCTCCACGAAAATCACAATTAGGAAAACGGTGACGACAATGGTGGAGCCCAACTGAGAGCCCTTGAGGAAGTGTTTGACTTTCTCAGCCAAGAATGTGGATATACCTTCATACAGCAAGGATGTATAGTATCTCCTTCAGTATCTTAAAATGTGTTTGACTTTGAATGCGATAAAGTTAAGTTTTGCATCCTTTGATGAAAAAGTAGTAAATATCAGTTCAGATGTGGCCACTGTCGAGCCCCGGTGAGAGAACACAAAGCTGATTTTATTGGTGGCGCACATAAGTGGACTTTATACTCCTTCTGTCAGATGGTTGGTAAGCTTCGGACAACCCCTCGTCATACACCTTACGAGTTTGGATTAGTGGGATCTGTGTTTGACCCGACATTCAGCCGACAACTTAGTGCAACATCATGAATGTTTCCCTGTCTGAAAATGTGTGTTGTTATCACCTGTTTTTAAATCATAACAGCCAGTTTTTCACTCCACCTTCCACAAAATGTTTCAGCCTCAGTAAAAATCTCTGCACTGTGTGCAGAGATTAAAGTAAAAAGAAAGAAAAAAGGGAGATATACTGGAGGAAGATATCAGAGAGAACAGTTTCTGGTTAGTTGTGAGTTCAGTCAGAGGGCGATGCTCTGTAAGCGAAGTAAGAAAGCGTAACATATTTTTTGTGATCATTTTTTTATTAGTATTTAGGGTCTGCACCCGTTACTGCTCCATTGAGGAAATGAAATTGGTTGACTACTGCATTATTGCTACATGTTTTTGTGGCTTTGTCTTCCTGGACACTGAAGGTGTGTCAGTACAAGGTTTTCCTCACAGGACAAGGTTTGCTACAAACTTAAAACTTTGAATTTTCCCAATTTTGCACGTGTTAATAATTTATCTTTGCTGTTTGTAATTGTGATTGTTTTTAGACTCTGCAGAAGGTTGGGTGGATGCTTGATAAATATTTTTCATCCTTGTTTTTGCATTGTAAAAACACACAATGGTGTTAGCTTTGGACGATTGCGTAATTCTGTAAAACCACCACATTCCCAATGTTACTTTCACTTCTCTAAAGCCGAGGGGGTTAATGACAGAATAATTAACTGTTCGCACTGTGGTTCTGTGAAGCTGTGCAAATTCTTCTGCTGACACGCCCTGCCCTTCTTTAAAACTTCACTGTTTCCCCCCAAGTGTTGAGTCCAGCTCAGCTGTGAACCTTCCTCTACACGATGACGATGATGCAGGTAAGTAAGATCAATAATCTGATTATTAGTAGTAATAGTAGTTCTAGAGGCAGTACTGTCTATGGGAGCAGTTACATGTAGTGGAAATGCAGATTTCACAATTCCATGTTGGAACGGGCTTTTCAGCTCTAAAACACTAACCTTATTCAGTGAAGCAAATCTATCTTTTTTCAGTTTTTCTAAAAGCTGGCCTACACCATTTAATTTTGCTACTGTTGCTTAAATCAATGAATAAAGAAGAAAAATTAATTGGGCCAGATTGATAACTAGAATATCTCATCAATAATTCATTTTTCTCTGTTATTACAATGTGTATTTGTTACAGCTAATCAACAAATACACAGAGTGCATTTGGGAATGAAGCATTTGTATATGTTCATAGAAAGTTTGAGATAGCTGCTGCAGAATACTTGTGTTACCGCCAACGAAAACAGAAATTACAAAAGCTTCTGGCAGCGAGGCCAGCAGATTTGAATGAATATTTAATTATCTTTTTCATTAGCCTCTTTTGTTTTGGGGTGAAAGTAGAATTCTCAGTCTTAGACATCTTCAAATCAAAGCAAAAACAACCATCCGAGTGACTAGTTACCACTAGAAGTGAGAAACTGTGTATTTTACATGAACTGACAGAAAGAACTAGTACATTTTGGTAATTTATGTAATAAAGAAATAGGACTTAAAATATAAAACACAGGACCAGGATGTGCAGTTGTCTGAACTCTGTTGGAACCAGTTTTTTTTGTTTCGACGGACAAAGCTGGTAAAACCAGTTCCAAGGTGGCACGAACACTTCGCTGATCTAGAACAAAGAACCACTTAAGTCAAGGGCCGGGGGCGGGGGGGTTATTGCGTCCTACAAGACCAACCAAAACTTCATGACTGTCACTTTTAAAAATCAAGCAGTATCACACACGACATACAAGGAGACATACGTGTGCCAGTGTTTGCATGCCAATGTAGGCTCGCAAAGCCAGGAGCAACACTTGCAACGCCACAATGTGATCAGCCATTGTTGTTTATGTGCTTTAGGTGAGAGCGTTGCTGCGAAAATGGAAACGTATGAACTGACGTCGTTAGTTGGCTGTATTGTTGCTCTCTAGCCAGTGGAAAAGCAAAATGGTTCTTAAAAAGTTTGCAAGTTGAACCAGTTACGAACCAGCTCTAGCACCAGCCCAGAACTAGCACTAGGTTCAAGTTGGTGGAGAAGAGGCACCAGTGCTGCACATGACTCTTGAAGAGCTGTTTGTCCTTTAACCGCTCAAACGCTTCCCTTTCACCACAGAGCCAGAAGAGCCTCAACAAAACACTGCGAGAAGAAGAGCGGCTGATGAACCTTTTAATGCTGCGTATGAGTGTGCAGGTAAACACTGTAGAAGATGCATCAGATTTTGTTAATCTCTCTCTGTTTTTATCCAGGTAAAATCATTTGTAGGGCTGCTGGTTTTGGTGGCCTCGGTCCACTCCGACTCCCTGTTCTCCATGCCCATTGACTGTGATGACATCTATAGCCATGACAACACCAGCTCCAGTGGGGTGTACACCATCTACCCAGGAGGTCCAACTACACCCATAAATGTCTTCTGTGACATGGAAACTGACGGAGGCAGATGGACTGTCAGTACACCTCATATTTTTTCAGATTTTATATTTATAAACATTGAATGTGAGCCTCATTTAGACCCTGTATTGAAAAGCCATTTTAAAAATAATTAAAAATAATTTTAGATCATGTTGTTGTCTCCACATTTGCTATTTTTTTTTTTATTTAAAAATATTTTTTCTATTTTTCTTTTACTTTCTCGGCATATTAATATTTCTTTGTGTATTAAACCCCCAGTTTGTTTAATACAGTCACAATAGTGGACTCAACAGACCACTTGACATCAGTGGCAGCCATCTTGGTTACCAAAGTAGCACTCACCTGGTTGAGTCTAAAAGATTTTCTGAACCGTTTTTAATATTTTTTGTTTGTTTTTTGTCATCTTTTAGTCATCATGCTAAATAAATCTATACAGTGTTATTTTTGTAAAATGTTCTGATTCTCCCTTTCAGGTATTTCACAGGAGGTTGGATGGGTCTGAAAACTTCTACAGGCCCTGGAAACAATATAAGATGGGATTTGGGAATGTAGCTGGAGAATATTGGCTCGGTGAGTTCTAGAGGGAGAGATAAATTAAAGCAGCTATAATCGATTGAATATGACCTCATTGCACTGTTTTCAGTCGCAGCAGGCAGCTGTTTTAAGCAAAAAAAAGCCCTGAAAATCCAGTATCCCGTACCTGCACCATGCCGCACCACATTGCAGACAGACAGTTAGTGACTAGCTGGTGGACACAGCGGAGCATTTAGCAGTGAAATTGAAAGTCGAGAAATAATATAGAGCCTTGGAGCAAGAGGTGAAATGAAACAGAGCTTTTTGTGTCTTTTCAGGCCTGGACAACATCTTCCTGCTGACTATGAGGAAGAAGAATGAGCTGCGGGTGGACATGGAAGACTTTGAGGGAGGGAAGGAATCTGCCCAGTACGCCGCTTTCTCAATCGACTCTGAGATCGCCGGATACCAGCTTCACGTGGGCAGCTTCACTGGTGGAGGGGCAGGTGAGGGTCACTCTGTGGATCCTGAAAATGTTTCCTTTTTTTGACTTTTAGACTTTCAACAATGAGCTAGGTGAAGGCTGAATATAACACTGTGGGCTAACTGGCTAAAAAACTATATATTGATTTTTGTGAATTCAGTGAAAATATGGCTGTCCAGGGACAAATTCTGCTTTCAGATTAATAAAAAAATCAAGCGTTATTTATCTTTCAGCAGAAAAAAAGGTGTTTTCAAAATAATAGTGTAGTGTCTATTTGTCTTCAAACTAATTTAAATCCAACATAAAGTCAAAAGGCCACTGATGCACAATGGGGAAGTGGTTTATGCAAAGCCACTGTGTTTCTCTTTTGATTTAATCAACTAAGCAAGTGCATGTCGGTCATAAGCCTGACCTAAATAACCTCAGGTACTCATAGTTTTACCCAAATAAATAGCATAATTAACCAAAACTAACTAAAAGCAAATAATATCAATAAACAAATGATTAATGAAAGAGAATACTATTAAAAAATAAAACAAATTAATTCAAGTAATCCAAACTTAAAATGAATTAATATTAGAAAAACCAACAAACAAACTAACAAATAGGTTAATTTTTAAATAGTATCTGTGTAGCCCATTTATTTGGAGAAACCTTGTGTTTCTCTCAGCATTTATGCAGTACAGGTGAAGGTCAATAGTAACCGGTCAGTGAGGAACTGTATGAAAATCATTAGTGTATTTTATTTGAACCCTCCACAACAACTTTCCTCCAGTGTTTAAAAACCCTTTTTTGTGTTCCAGTTACCAATTATATTTTAACTCCACACACATTGTTCTTTCTGTTTTTCTAGGGGACAGTTTAACAAACCACAACAACATGAAGTTCACCACCTATGACAAGGACCAGGATCAGTGGGATAAAAACTGCGCTCAGCATTTTCTGGGTGCATTCTGGTACAACGCCTGCCACATGGCAAACCCCACGGGCATATACGTGCCTAATGGTGCCATCGGATTTGAAAACGTCCACGTCATCTGGCAAACGTGGAAAGGTTGGAACTACTCCCTCAAGACTGTTGCCTTGAAAATGAGATCAGTCGCCAAGTGTTCATGCACATATTAACCTGATTATCTGATAGATTAACTCCGTCAGGCTAGGAGAGTTGGGATGTGGGGGAACATCATCAGAACTCAGAACCAACAATATATATATATAAAAAAAATTACAAAATGTCAATTTGCCCTTTATTACTCATCTTGTCTCAAAATCACAGACAGTCATAATATCTTAGGTGAGCTGGCTGCGTGCATTTTCTCCCTATGCTTTTTTTTACCTGATGATCATTTTCATTGCTTAATCATTTCTTTTGTTTTTTTTTATTTGTACTTAGTGATTATTGCTTTTGACTGATGTTGATTTGAGTGAGTATTATATCAATAAACGTGATAGTTTTAACCATATTATTATTATTATCATTATTATTATTATTATTGTTTTTTATTAGTAGTATCAATTTCATTCCTCAATGTTGAAAATGGGCATGTTCTGGAAGAAGAAATGTGTTCATTGTTCCATCTCACTGATAAATATAATGAGTTTCATTCTCTATTGTTTTCAACTAGCAATACATGCTAGTTAGCACTAAATACAAATTGGAGCTGAGGCTGATGGGAATGTCATTAGTTTTGCACGTGTTAGGTCATGAACCAAAGTGCTAGATAAATTAAAAAACTGACCTGATGATGGCGCTGGAGGAAAAGTTATGGGATCATCAAAGTCATTATAGTTCATCCTGTTAGGGACCACGTGTGTCTGTAACAAAGCTCACAGCAATCCATGATGACGAAATTTCATGTTAATTCATCCAGTAGTTGTTGAGATATTTCAGTCTGGACCACCGTACTTAAGAACAATTTTGAGGTACTTTATTTAAGTATTTCCATTTTATATTACTTTATACTAAGTCTGCGCTACATTTCAGTGGGAAATATTCTACTTTTCACTACATGACATTTATTTTACAATAGTTACCAATAACTTTTCAGATTTCAATTTGACGTACGAAGCAAATGATCACTGTAAAATATGATGGATTTTATTAAACTCAAATAGCTTCATCATGAGCAGCTAGCACACTAAACAGTTTCATACACATTTATGTATCAGCAGTGGAGGGTGGTATATGGATAAAATCTTCACTTTTGTTTTAACTCATGAGATGATATTTATATATTGCAATGTAGTAAATCTTTTAATGGCGTTTCCATTAAGACAGCATGTTGTTAAATTGGAGTGTCGTGTCTTTTCACTGACTAATCCTGTGGCCTAAATACATGAACATTCAAGATACTTCATCACATCCATGACTGGGTTAACGTCTTTTGGGGCCTTGAGGCATACGTTTGCTGTCTGTGTTGGGCCTGTGTTGGCTCCAAGTTCACATCAAGTGCTCACAGCTCACTATAGACGGCAGCTTCATTATATTTAGCATACAGATCCAGACTCCAACCGGTTCTCCTTAAATGGAATATGAACTTTTCATATACGAACAAGAAAGTTTTAACTTGCACAAATTTGTTTTTTGACTTTTCTCTAATGTTTGTTTTTTGTGAAATACTATTTTACCTCCCTGGGCCTTAAACAGTTTTTTTAAATGAAACCATTTGAAAGGTTAACAGAAGAAATCATGCAGCTAATGAGGCAAGGGGCCACAAGAAACATCTCTTGTTGTAAGGCATGTTGGGAAGTTGGAAAACACAGTTTCATCTTTTAAAATGATGTATTTTATGAGCTTATCTTTGTTTTTGTTTTCTTAATGAAATCTTGATCTGAAAAGTTACAAGTAACTAGAGATGCCAAGTAAATGTGGTTAAAAAGTCCAATATTTCCCTCTGAGATGTAGTGGAGTTTAAGTATAAGGTAGCATAAAATGGATAAAGGTACTCAAGTAAAGTACCTGAAAAATTGCACTTATGTACAGTAGTCCACTTGGCCTCTGTCCTCCACTTTTAAAATGTATTTCACTGCATTTAAAGGGGCTATTTGTAAGTTTTGCTATTGCTACGTAGCCAACGTTTGCGTTAACAGCTGTTTACTTACCAGGCTAGAAGAAACGTTGTGAGTTCAGTATCAAACCTCTTTTCTTTACTCACCAACAGCTGTCTCCAGAGGTGGAAAGCAACACCAATGTTAACACTTGTCTCTATCATGTCTTTTCTTCTACTGAAATTAGCACGCTAACCAGTTGGCCCTGGCCCCCGTCTCCTCACTTTCTGATAGCGACTCACTGTAGACTCCAATCTGCCCTGAAGATGTAGTTCTGCTCAGAGGACAAGCTGTTATAACCTCTTGTATTATAAACACAATGGTGGGCGAAGCTTTTGTCAAGCGACAATCACCACCATCCGCTCCAGAGACAAAACCACATTCAGCAGCAGAGAAAACTTACAAATGGCCCCTTTAAGAATGTGATTGTATTGTGATGACCACTTATTTCAGTTCTAGCTGTAAATAAATAGAGTTACTCATATTTTGTATTCTAAAATATTTAACCAGATTTTTCCATTACTCTCCAACATTGCCAACTACCAACTGCCATATGTATTGAGACATGTATGGGGCATTCTGCTGCATAATGAATATTTTTTACTCCTGGTACTTTGCATTTCCATGTATATCCTATATTTACCCATCCAGAAATGTAATATATGATATATATACTGTATGTCCCTATATCAAGAGTGATCTTGCCATATATGTCACTTATATTACAATCATCATACATATATTTGTATTTCATACATATATGAAATAACCATAGTAAAATGATGAATTATATGATGAATTTTTATATGATATTAAGTGTTGGGACCATAAATGTTAATGATATTTATTTAATTCATATTTGCAAGTTCATCAAAACAACATCAATATAAAGATTCTATATGTTTATATACGTTTTTTTTTTAAAATTAAATTCAAACATGTATCTTCACATTCTGGGAAAGTGGTGTCAGACTTTTGGACCCCACTGTATATAATATCAACATACAGGCTTTTGACAGGCTTTGGGATGGATATATAGTCAATATACATATAAGCATACACACATAAACAAACATACTTGTATGGGCTAGACACATATGTCAATGTGTAACATTGTTCCAACTTCTAACAGGGTTGATAGGCCTATATAATTTACACTGCGGTGATTTGTGGGGCTTGTCCAATATAGTTAATGAGTTACTTCAGTTTAATCTCTCAGGTGTGATGTTCTAACTGACACGTGCTCCTGTTTTACTCCCAGCGAATATATGTGTTCGTTCCGTGGTTCAGAGCTTTAATGGACATTTACGTAAATGACCTCAAGCTGCATATTTAAGATAAAACAAACAGAGACGCCGCTGGTATGGTTTCCCACCCCGCTCCTCCTCCTCCACCCTCCTCCTCCCTCCCCCCTCTCTCTCTCTCTCTCTCTCTCTCTCTCGCTCTCTCTCTCTGGGACCCAAACTTGTTTCAGGAAAAGCGCCTGAACATATTTTTTCTCTGGCTGGCTGGGAGAAACAGGACAGCAGCCGCGTCCGTGCCAAGGAGAAGGCGTAGACTTCCTCCAAACATTTCCTCCGCCATCTCCGCTTTCGAGACTCTAAAGTTTTGTGGAATCTTTGTAACGAGAGGAGTTTTTTTTTTTCTCCCCTTTTTTTGCCTCCTCCACCACCTGGACGCCGCTTTCTTAGCTCTGAAACAACACGGGAGAGGATTCCTCCCTTTTCTCCTCAGACAGCTTGCACTTTTGCAGACATGGACTGGGGAACAGATCTTTGGGTAAGTTGACAGCTGACTCAGAAGAAGCGCAGACCTCTGGGAGAACTCATTTACACAAAATACCTCCAACATCCCTTCGGAGCTGGGCTGTCCTGCCATTGTTTTTCGTCGACACAATATGTACACGGGGCTCTTGTTTTTCCACGGTAGGCCTGGGTTGAGCAGTCTATCTGTAAAGCAGCAGCCAGGGGATTTCGCAACTCCTGCTGCATACCTTATCATAAGCAGAGGGGAAAGAGGAGAGGTTTACGACTCTTTGTGGCCACAGGAAGCCCTGTGCATTCTTATCTGCTCACTGGTGTAAGCTGAAAGGTACACTACACCACCTTTTGCTTGTTGCATGCTTGCAACCTCAGCTTTGTTCTGTGACAGCACTTCTCAGGAAGCGTTGGGCTGTCGGCCTGGTTGTCCACTGATGGAGGTTGATTTGTCCCGTATCTGGTCGGTGTCCCAGCTGTGAATCACAGCTTCAGGCATCAGGTCAGACAACCGCCCACATCACAACACCACTGTCCTCCATACAGTCTCTGAGCATTAGAGTAAATGGACTGAGGCACTAATCCAGGGCCCCACCTCATGTCATTGTCAATTAACTATCAGTTTAGGGGGGGTGGGGGGTGCTCATCACAGTTTTCTAAATCCCAAGATAAAGCCTTTTAATTGGTTGTTCTGTCTGACCAGCAGAACCAAAAGATATTCTATTTACAGAAACAGAAAGACAGGAAATCCTCCAATTTGAGAAGCTGGGACTGGAGATTGTGAGTAATCGATTATCAGAATAGCTCATGATTACTTTTCTGTGGCGTGACTAATCACGTCAGCTCGACACTGATCCCAGTCAGACTGATGTTATGTACAGTACAGTATGTGTTTTCAGTCAAACAAAAATTTCCCCCAAATCCTGCTGTGATTGTGGTCAGAGTGAGACTACATGCCTCTGAGATTATTCAACCGTTAAACACAGAGTGGGTGAGGCTGTTTTTTTCTTGTTTTTTTTTTTTAATGCTGCATTTGTTGATAAAGAGTTGACATTCAAAATCTTTCATTGCTGCTTGTAGCCCTGGGATGTGCACTTTGTCAAACATCGCTGTGGTAAATCCAAAACATATCTAAGAAAGAGCTGAAACAGCTGATCGATTAGTCACCTGACAGAGGGCGAATCAGTTTCATTATAGAGTACTCAACAAATTGTTTGGTGTATAAATGCAAGAAAATAGAGGAAAGAGGCCGAACGTGACGTCTTAAAGTGACTCGTTTTGTCCGACCAACAGTCCAAAACAAAGACTCATTTTACTGTCATATCCGACAAAGAAATGCAGCTGAGAAGCTGTAACCAAGTGATGTTGGGCATTAAGTGACTCATGGATGATCAGTCAGCCATTCATTTTCTGTTTGATCAACTAATCATTTCAGTTCTATCAGCAACTGTTTTGATAATCATTCAGACATTACCTAGGGCCTACTTCCACTATTCTCAAGTGTGAAGAATAGTGCCGCTGTTCACTTTTACTGTCTACTACACTGTGTGTGTGTGTGTGTGTGTGTGTGTGTGTGTGTGTGTGTGTGTGTGTGTGTGTGTGTGTGTGTGTGTGTGTGAGAGTGTGTGTGTGTGTGTGTTTGGTTGTTCGCAGGCTTG